TCAAGCAGTATTAAAAGGATGTCACACCCTCATGTGTTGTCATCGTATTACAAATGTACAACATTGCAAAAACTGTTTTGCGCGGGACAACTTTTATCTTTTTGTGTTTGTAGTAATGGCTCAAAAATGTCTCAACATATAATATGGAAAATTATCTATGCAACAGCTTGCCCATATTTTAGATAACACAAATACAATAAAAGTTATGTTAGCGATTTATTTTTTTTTTATTATGTACACTCGGGCAGCACTGGTCGTCCGGCCGACCAGTCTGACTCCGCCGTTACACTTCGGGCGTATCGTCCTGTTTCGCCGTTACCGCCGGACACGACGTGTGTGTCCGCGGACGAACTGCCGTTTAATTTAAATTACTACCGTTGCTGTGTTTTTCCTGAAATATAATAAACCGTCATATTGTTCAATTCAATTCAGTCTTCTGTTTATTAATCCTGACGCCATTAATACATAGGCCTAATAAGTAAAGTAAAACGTTCTTTACAATTCAGAAGTGGGATACGACTCTTTTGTATTAAGAGTCGATCGTATCCATCACGTGGTTTGTGCGACCGTTACGCGCAATCGTTATTGCGTTTCGCCGCGACCGTTAAAGTTATCGTGATCGCGAAGTTGTGAAGTGCCGACCCCGCGAACGTGAATCGCCCCACGCGTAGTTTTCGTAGTTCGCGTAGTTCGTCGTGGTTCGCGCAGTTCGCCGTGCAAACCGTGTCACGTGTTTTACCCAGCCGAGGGCCGACGGTTGAGTTCAAAGTCCAACCCGTGGATTTTGAGGTTAATCAGTATCGCGACCGTGCTGTGACGTAACCGCAACCGGTACCGCGAAGTTGTTATCGCGAACACGTTCGCGCCGTATCGCGAAGTCGTTATCACGACCACATTCGCGCCGTATCGCGAAGTCGTTATCACGAATACATTCGCGCCGTATCGCGAAGTCGTTATCGCGATTACTATCAGTGTTTACCTTCGTTGAGCGCATGAACTAAGATATACAGGACTGGACACCGATAGGTTGGCGGGTATGAAGGGTACGGTCAGTAAATGTTACGCCTCTTACCTTTAATCGGAGCTGGCGCAATCTATGAGAATAAATTTGCAACCTAATTTATAAAACACAAAATTTGTATGCTATAAATATAATATAGGTACATATTATTTCGAAAACAAAACATAATTATGTTTATTTTAACACCTAATGTCATTCTGTACCGTACATGCTTAACGGCAGTTAACGCATACGGTATTCGATATAAAGTTCGTAAAAATGGTTAACAAGTGTTCTGTGTTGCTGTGTAAAAGTCGAAAGCACAATATTAAAAAGTATTCGATATTTCAAGCGCCGAAAAATAAAGATATTTCTGAACTATGGTCCAAAATTATATCGCAAGTTAACCACAAACAAACTAATGCGAAATATTTGTGTGAACTCCACTTAAGTAGTGAAGATGTCATAAGGAATTATTCTGGTTGGAATATGCCAGTTAAACAGAGGTAACTTGTGTTTGTATTCTGTCTGGTATTATATTATTTGAATAATTATGATAATTATTGATCCTTACCATTGTTTATCCTAAATTATTTGTTAATGAAATGAAAAAATGTTAAATTAATTTTTTTTTCTTTTAGTTCTAGTTCTACAGATAGTAATAATGTTTCATTTTCTTCTGCTGATTTTGTTATTCCGCTGTCTGCTACTAAACCTAGGCTAAAAAAAAATGCTATTCCTTCAATTTTTGAAATAAATGGTTAGTGTAATGATTTAACTACATGGATATATGTATATATTATAAAAAAAAACTATTCAATTCATCTTATTTTTAGATCAAAATGTTGTTTAAGTCAACCTAAGCACATAAATAGGTCACCTAAGACATTACAAGTAGACATGGATACATTTTCAAATTAAAATATTATAGTATAAACATGAACTAAAAAGATCTTCTTAGTTCATGATTACAAATATTAATAAGTTTGTTTAATATGAATATATATTTTTTAATTAGGAAATATTATTAATTAAATACTATGCATAATATTTTTGAAAATAGCTTAAATATGCATTAATAATACAATATAAATTATAATTTAAAATATTCCTAATATGTACGTTCCTAAGTATACATACTCATAACAAATATTTAAAGTTGTGTCTTACATTATGAAAAGTAGATATAACTAGTAACTACATACATAACTTTTTAAGTAAATAAAATAAAATATTATATGGAAGTGCCTTAAATTCCGAGCTGTAATAATAATGTAGTAAATTAATTCGTCACTAGATAGCGTAGGTATCGCTTAAAGGTACAATGCGTAACATTGTCTGACCGGCTGATAAGGCTCTGTGTCCAGTCCTGTATATCTTAGTTCATGGTTGAGCGATAACGTTTGTTTACACTAGTATCCGCCTACGTCACGATGGGTGATTCTGACGATGGAAACATTTTGAAGACTAACGAGCTAGGGCCGAAAGCTCCGACGTATAATGAACTGTTCAGCGCCGTGGCCGAACTAACCGAAAGACTGCGAAAACTCGAGTCGACTGCCGTTTTGCCGCCCGTTCAATCACAGACTTCTAGAATTGACGATAACTCCCAGACTACTTCGGCGGTAGATTATCGTATACTCCCAGACGTAGGAACATCCATATGGTCATTCACGGGACACGAGTCTAGTGGTCGAGCAGAGGATTGGATTAGTTCAGTTGACGGGTTGGCGCAAGTTAACCAGTGGCCACTGAGATACCGACTGCTGTACGTCCGTTCGCATGTCGTGGAAGCCGCGCGAAGCTGGTACCTGCTTGAAGAGTTCCGCGACTGGGACACCTTCGTCCGCAGGTTTAGGGCAACGTTCGTGCGCACCTTGCGCAAGGCGGATCTGTGGCGAGAACTTGAAAGACGAATACAAGAGCCGAATGAACTGACTACTTCTACGCCAAAATCGGTCTATGTCACTCGCTCGGCCTGGCGTTTGTTGACACGCGTGAATACGTCCTCGAGGGATTGAGGTCCCAACCTTTGACCGACTGGGTGTACGGTCGTACGCACTCCAACCGCGATGACCTGCTGTCGGACATCCGGGACTGGGAAAGCATGCGCGCGAAGCGCAAAGAAAAGTTCGACACCGCTAATTCAACGTCCACTAAGCCACGAAATGTCAAACAAAAATCCGTTACTGAACCGCTGGGCACGAAATCGACATACGATGTGCCCGCAGTTCCGCCGAAAACGACGATCGGCGCTACCGCTAGATCGCCGACGTACAAGGCTGAGGCCAAAACGGATGTTTCAAGTGAACGATCGACGTTCTACTGTTTTAACTGCCGCGCTGCGGGGCACATCGCCAGGGACTGCCCGAAACCTCGACGTCCGAGGAAGTGCTCTAATTGCGGTTCGGACCGACACACTCGAGGTCGTTGCCCGGAAAAGTCTGACGAACGATCTGAAGCCGCGTCCGTTACCGACCAGGCGTTTCGTGTCGACGCGACCGCGAGTGCAAAAAGATCGAGAAACCCGTACGTAAAAACCGTGAGTATCAACGGACGACCTGTTTGTGGCCTTATTGATACGGGTAGTTCAGCCGTGCTGATGCGTATATCAGCTGCCCGCGAGTGTAACGTCGCTATACGCGACGCCGTGTGTCCGCTTTACACTGTCGGTAATGCCACACAGCCGAGTACCTCCACGATTGGAGAAGGCGACGCCGAAATCTCGATTGAAGGCGTGTTAGCAGCCGATCACACAATTAAGATAGTGCCAGACAGCACGATTCCGGTGGACGTGCTGGTTGGTCGGACCTGGCTCGATCTGCCTCACGTGAACTACTTCAAACAAGGAGGTGAGATAGTTTTCGATTCGATGAACCGCGTCCAGACCGACGCGCTCGATATGTCGCACGCCGACGAAAATGTATACGTCGCTGCAGAGGAACCGGTCCGTCCGACGAAAGTACCTATAACTGAAAACGACGTTGTTATCGACTCGAACGTGTCCGTCACACAACGCGAAACGTTAGTTGCGTTGCTTAACGAATATCGCGACGCTTTTGCGAAAAACATCACGGAGTTGGGTTGCACCGATGTCATCGCTATGGACGTCACTGAAGAGCCGGGCAGTTTGCCTGTTAGTTTAAAACCGTATCGAACGTCACCCTCCGACCGACGTATTATAAGCACCACATTACGCGAATGGCGAGAAGCGGGAATAATAAGCGACTCTACTTCTCCCTACGCCAGCCCGGTACTTCTGGTTAATAAGTCCTCGGGTGAAAAACGGTTGTGCGTGGACTACCGACGCCTGAATCAACAGACCGTAAATCAGCCGTATCCGATGCCTGACGTCGACTCGCAACTCGGAGTTCTGTCGCACGGTGTAATATTTACGACGTTAGATCTCTCCAACGGATTTCTACAGATACCACTCACCCCCGAAGCCAAAAATAAGACTGCGTTCGTTACCGAAGAAGCGACGGCAAAATTTGAGCGCATGCCCTTCGGACTTAAGGGTGCGCCGGGAACCTTTCAGAAGCTGATGGGTATTGTGTTCAAGGACCTGAAAAACGAAGGCGTCGTGAGTACGTATTTAGACGATATAATTTTACCATCGAAAAGCTGGGACCTCATGATGCACGACCTACGCCGAGTGCTAGACGCACTACGCGCCGCCAAACTGACGCTCAAACCGTCGAAGTGCACGTTCGGTGCACGCGAATTGGATTATTTGGGTTTCCGTATATCCGAAGGTACAGTTAAACCAGGACGCAAAGTGCTTGCGATCGCTAAATTTCCGCGTCCGCTCGACGTACACGAAGTTCGGCGCTTTTTGGGACTCGCCGGCTACTTTAGGCGTTTTATAGTTAAATACGCGCAAATCGCCGCCCCACTGACGTGTTTAACGGGTAAAGACGTACCGTTCGTTTGGTCAGAGTCGCAAGAAAACGCCTTCACCGCGTTACGCGAAGTCCTATGCAACGAGCCGGTCGTACGGATGTACGACCCGGAAGCCGCCGTCACGCAGGTTCACACGGACGCGAGCAGTTTAGCTTTATCGGGAATATTGCTACAAGGTGGGACGTCTACCACTCTACACATGGTGTACGCTGTGAGCAAGAAGACGACATCTGCGGAATCAAAGTACCACTCATCACGTCTTGAACTACTCGCGATTATTTGGACATTAAATAGACTACGTCCGTTCCTTTTGGGAATCAAATTCACCGTAGTCACCGACTGCCAAGCTTTAGTGTATCTAAACTTGCACAAAACAGTAAAACCTCAAATCGCGCGTTGGTTCGAAGTGCTACACGAATATGATTTCGAAATTAAATACCGTCCGGCTGCGAGAATGGCTCACGCCGACGCGCTAAGTCGAGCGGTCGACGACGAAACCGAAGACGCGGACTCCGTAGACAAACAGTTGACGGAACGGCTGGAAGTGTGTGTTGCATTGACGAAAGAGGAACGCGTCCGATTTATGCAACGAGCTGATGAACACACGTGCAAGCTGATCGCGTTGCTCGAATGTAAGAACGACTTAACAAAGCAGGAAAAGAGCGAGATAGTTAATTTCGAGTTATCGTCGGGAGTGTTGTACCGCGTATACGAAGGGCGCCCATTACTCGTTATCCCGAAGACAATGCGGAAGGGAATCGTGATCGAAGCTCACGACCACGGAGGTCACTTTGGACTCGAACGGACCATCGCACGGATTACTGCCGATTACTGGTTCTCTCGGTTACGACGTTACGTGCGCCAACACATTAACATGTGTCTCGATTGTCTAGTGCACAAGCGACCGTCGGGCAAGAGGCCGGGCCTACTGCACCCGATTCCGCCGGGAAAACGACCGTTCCAGGTCATACACATCGATCATCTGGGGCCGTTTGAGACGTCGACTTCGAACAACAAATATCTGTTAGTTATTGCCGATAACCTCACGAAATACGTGCAACTGTTTCCGTGCGCAACGACCGACGCCACCGGCGTAATACGTATACTTAAAAAGTTTTGTGACGACCGAGGTATACCGGACCGGATAATCTCCGACAGGGGGACGTGCTTCACATCGCGGGCGTTCAACCGATTCTGCCTCGACCGCGAGATCGCTCATACGCTCAACTCTACGCGACACCCACAAGCCAACGGGCAGGTCGAGAGGGCTAACCGGACAATAATTCCGCTCCTCAGTATATCGACCTCGGACCAACGCCGATGGGACGTAAAAGTGAAGGAAGTCGAGCGCCAGATGAACACCGCAGTGAACAAAACAACGACCAGAACGCCGTACGAAGCCCTCCATGGGTATCTGCCGCGTTTTCGGCCGGGTGCCTTGCCCACGCTGAGTCGTACTCGGAACGAAAGTAACTCGCCCGAGGAAGTGCAAGCGGAGGTGCGCGAGAATATAGTACGCGAACAAAAGAAGATGAAGAATCGATACGACCGAAAACATTTCGACGGCATTCGATACGAAGTCGGGGAGGTCGTAGTCATGCTGAGACAGCCCACGGCGGGTCAACCGTCAAAACTGCAAGCTAAATACCGCGAGAAGCCGCTGCAAGTGATGAAGGTACTTCCGAGCGACACATATCGCGTCGCCGAGCTCGGGTCCGACGGACACGAGATTTACGCCACCACAGCCCATGTCTCGCAGTTGAAGTCGTGGCGTATTTTACGTGAATCCGACGACGAGGTGAACGACCGAGATGAATCCGACGACGAGGTGAACGACCGAGATGAATCCGACGACGAGGTGAACGACCGAGATGAATCCGACGACGAGGTGAACGACCGAGACGAATCCGACGACGAGGCGAACGGCCGAGATGAATCCAACGACGAGGTCCAGCTTCATGCCCAACTTCGTCAGTCCGCAAGGAAGCGCAAGTTACCCGCGCGGCTCGAAGGCTTCGAGCTCGGCCGGCCCTAAGCCACCATTGTTTTTTTTGTTTAAAAAAAAAAAAAGGTTTATATTCGTCATCTTATGATTTATTTATTTTTTTTTGGGGGCATTGTCCGCCATCGATTTCAATGCGAGGAATTTATCATAATGTAATCATGTTTAATTTTGTGTTTTATAATCGCCGCGCGCGATGCGCCTTTTTGAATTATTTTGGGATTGCTCGATCCTTTTTATGCTTTTTTTGTGTTATACGAACTCTCAGTTTTGTAAACGGCCCGAGGACGGACCGTAAGTAGGAAGGCCGAATGTTAGCGATTTATTTTTTTTTTATTATGTACACTCGGGCAGCACTGGTCGTCTGGCCGACCAGTCTGACTCCGCCGTTACACTTCGGGCGTATCGTCCTGTTTCGCCGTTACCGCCGGACACGACGTGTGTGTCCGCGGACGAACTGCCGTTTAATTTAAATTACTACCGTTGCTGTGTTTTTCCTGAAATATAATAAACCGTCATATTGTTCAATTCAATTCAGTCTTCTGTTTATTAATCCTGACGCCATTAATACATAGGCCTAATAAGTAAAGTAAAACGTTCTTTACAGTTATTGGCTTCTAAACATTTTGTTTTTTTCTTTTGCTTAATAAAAATGATTGGATAGTGCTATTAAAAAAAAGCACCCCGTTGCACAGATAAAGTTCTTCTTTACGTGTTGTGAATATTTTTTTAGATACCTATACAACAAATATGGTGTGAGAAAAGTGAATCCGTGCAAAATAGTTTAGCGCCGGGAAAAAAAAAATAAAAATTAAGGAAAAACGGGAATTTTTAAGCAAAATAGGTTTTTGACAAAATTAATTTTGATTTTCGGTGTAACTCTAAAACAAATAACCACAGTTACAAGCAATTTTCTCTGAATGTTTATACAAGAATTTTCTATACACGATTAAATGTTCAAAATAATTTGACTTGTTCTGAATGGTTTACCTACGGACATTTTCAGTTTCCAATATTTAAGTTTTTTTCTATAAATGGCAATAACATTTTAAAGCTTGAACATTTAATATTATATATTGTTACAATACCTATCAGTTGAAAAATATTAAAAGTACAATCACAATTATTTCTTAGAAGCATTTAAAGTTCAAATGTTGTTAAAATAGCGATTTTCTTATTTTGTTGTAATTTAAACACGATTCACCTGTAGATACTTGAAATTTACACCAAATAACATCTTATCAATTCCCATACTTGATAAAATGTACAAAATATTTATACCCGTTTTGAACATTTTAAATTTAAATTTTTTTTAGTTTTTTTCTTTAACTATCAATGAAATTTAATTTGTTTGGTCAAAAAGTGTGAAAATTTAGTACAATGCTCCTGCTATATTTTTACTGCAGCAGTGAGTTGAATAATATTTAAAATACATATACCGTAAGAGCGGGATTCTTTACTCCAGGGGTTAAACATTGCGCCAAAAAAATTATTGATATCAATCGTAGCACATTACGATTTTGACTAAAAATACAATTTTTTTAATAATATAGTTAAAAATGCACATTTGTTGCCGAGATAAATTTATTTGTATTTTGGATTTCCTATATTATGTTTAATGGTATAATATTAAAATGTGTAAATAAACTATTTAAACTGTGTTACCATTTACAAAAAGTTCTTATCAAATATTATTTGATAAGAACTTTTTATGATAAATTATAACATTTTTATGAACATATACATCACAATACTTACTAGCCCTGGCTATAATGTAAGGCTATTATACCTACTATTAGTATTAATTCTTATCTTGAATAGGCTACAAACATAATAATATAAAAGTTTATAAATAATAATTATTTATTTATATTTTATATTATAAAAAATAATATGCTGGCCAATGTCTGTTATTAATTTCCTTATAATCGATACAAGAAAATTGTTTATTTCTTGTTAATGTTTATATTTCAATTTCGTTAAAAAAACATTTAAATTATATACGTAACAGTTTTAACTTTCATGCGAATAATATTAAATTTTTCCGATTGCCGTTTTAATTTGTAATTTGTTTAAGTTTTCCAAAATTATTCTTAACTTTCCTTACTTTCTTTAAGTTTGTTGAAAATGAATTGTTCTTTTTACTTTCAATATTTAAATATTTAGATACATATAGGTGCACACATCAACAATGAAATAATGCAATTTTAAATGAACAAAAGCTATTATTTATCAGAACATGGATACGAAATAGTATTGTACGTACCTTGATGTTTCATAGCTATTGGGCAATATGGAAAAGTTAATGAGTCCACGTGATAGTAAGATATTATTTAAACTCAGCCAATTTAAATTTGGTACCCATAAACAGTATAAACCAAGTAAGTAATACAATTTTCTGTATTTTGTAAATACATGTATATAATATTATATTTGTTTAGTATTTTTTTGTAGTAGCATATAAAATAATATATAAGTAGGTAGGTGCTATAGATTTACACTTATTAGAGTATACTTACAAGTATAGCATCTAAATATATGCTATATATAGCACCTAAATAGTTTTTTTTTTCTAACCCTCCGGACCCTCCTTCCCAGTAACTAATTCCCGACAGCTGGCTTAGAAGATGACCTGTGAAAATGACGAATAATACAGCAACCAGAGGTTTTCGGCTATTTGGTTTTAGATGAGAACGAAAATTGTCCGAGGTGCATCGTCCACATTATTCGTAATGAGTAAATTAATTATTGTATTTAATTTTCATATTGTCTTCATCTCCCTGTCAAACACATCACAGACTATTGCCGGCTGGTCTCACTCACTTATTATTACCTGACTTTTTACGGGAGTTTTTTTTTTATTATTTCAAATATTATGTTGTTGTGTTTATAAATTTTTTATAATAATTTTATGTATTGGTGTTAAAATTAGTTGAACAGTGGGAATCGAATTTTTTATTTCTTCTTTGAGTGATCTAAAATTATTTATTGCATTAATGGTATTGTATATGCGCTAATATCTGTGTACTTTTTTTTATTAATATTATTTTATGTTGCACTCTAATCACCGCTAAAATATTATAATACACAATATCCACTTTATCCATATTAGTATCATGGGTGCAAAACGCCACTGTCTACATTGTAGTTTTGTAAAGCGTGTACTCCTCAATATTATAGTAGACTTGAAAACGCTCTCATTACCTATAACTTCAACTTAATAATAACGCTGCAGCATCTCAAATAGCTGTCTAATTTTTCTCAATTATAATATTATATCATTGGCAATTATTTATTATTACTTTAATATTGTAATATATTATAGGGCCAGAACGCTATTGTATTTATTTGTCAATCGTTATTTACGTATTTTATTGATTGTTTGCCCAAAAAAGACTATACTTAGGTACTTAATTTCAGAGTTCATTTTTGGGCCGAGTTCCGTATATTTTAATTAATAATTTCTTATTATTCTTTCATTATAATCCATATGCTACGATTAATTTATGTTTTTATTTATTTTTTGAATTATAAATATTATTATACATATTTTATACTACCAGAAACTACAGTAACACTATACACAATACACATAAACACATTAACCCATTTACAAACTAATACCCACCATGGCACCATGCACTGCACTCGCTGGTATAAGCAACCCAAATACTAGTAAATATATATATTGTGAAGAATCTTGGATAGGTTTGAATGGAAGTCAATGAATAGTGGATCCTGTCGGTAGTTGGTGTTATAGTGGTTGGTGACATAGAAATAGGATTTTAGTAACCACATGGATGTTGAATAAAATTAGAGAAATAATAATAATAGTAATAATATAGTTATAGTAGTTATAATTTATGGTTATAGTTATAGATATAGATATAATTATAGTTATAGATATAGTATTAGGAGTTAGGACAGTGTTGAATTTAAAGTATAAAGATATCATCCTTCAAATAATTGCAAATTACTGTTATTATCAATAAGTTTTATTAACTATTCTCAGCCCCGTCACATGGTCGTTATAAATTCAGGGAGTAAAAACGATTAACCCTCCTTAAATTATACCCATTCTCAAATCCCAAACAAAATTTGACCCACTTTTATACCCCTTTACTCGTATACCCGCAAATAATTGTACCCAGCTACTGTTCGTATATTAAAAGCGTTTTAAGACCAGCGATAATACAGAGCAGAGGGGCCACCTACACGTCAATGTAGCGAAATTGCATATACGTAGCGCCGGCGAACAGATGTTAATATTATAATGATTAAAATAATATTAATATGATATATGAATGTAACAATTAAAATTATTTTGCAGACCATAAAGTTCTTTTTCGTGGGTAAGTTTTAGACTCAACAAAGCAAATTATACGTGAATCATATTAATATTATACCATGTCCACCGATTTTATTTCAACAGAATTTCTTAGTGAAAATATTTTATCAAATAAAATTTTTAAAAATCGGATAAGTGTGTGTCGCTTTGCTGTATTACAGTAGGTTACACATTGGTGACTGATATGGATGGTGCTAAATTGGAATTCAATGATATAATATCATTGTATAAGAAAAACGATTCTGAGCGTCGATGATTTGTCAGTCTGGGATATTATATTATATTATATTAATTATATTGTTATTATTAATATTACGATAGCAGCAATTAAGTTGAATTAAATGTTATAAATATTATATGCATTATTAGGTATAATATTTCAATATTTGTACTTAATAATATAGGTACTTGAGAAGTTTCAAGTCCCCACGAATATTATTTTAAATTACAAAAATATAACTAAAATCATTATTATCATTATTTAATATGTGATTTTGTACAAATTTAAACTCAAAATAATAATAATAAACTGTATTTATATATTTTTTAAAGTTTTTTGATAAGTTATGTTAGGTTTATATATTAAATGTTATAGTCTATTAAATCTTAATATTTTTTCTCATATAGATTACACTTTTGAAGTTGAAGATGGTATGTCTATTGAGATTATTATTATGACTTTGGC